AAACATCTACACTCGTAGTTTATGATTTGGCTACTTTCAGCTTTTGCTATACGTCGGGTCACTCTCTCAGACTCAGAACACCTGGTTTAATTTTGGAGAGCGTTTTACGGCACTTGCAACACAATAAGCAATCCAGTAGCGCTGGACAAGAGGATCGCGGACGCAAGTAAGGAAGAATTTGGGGAAGGAGGGGGGGGGGCAGTTGAAAGGAGAGGTGGGTTAAGGGAAGATGGTGAGTTGAGGGTAAAGGGAAAAGGGATGAGGGTGAGGAGAGAAGGTGAGGGAGGAGAGGGAAGAGGGGAGAGAGGAAAGGGGGGAGGGAGTAAGGAAAGGGGGTGAGGGGAGAGGGGAGAGAGAGTAAGGAAAAGGGGTGAGGGGAGAGAGTAAGGAAAGGGGGTGAGGGGAGAATGTGTGGAAAGAGGGTAAGGGGAATGGGTAAGGGGATGGGTAAGGGAAAAGAGAGAGGGGAGACAGGAGATGGGAGAGGGGAGAGGGGAGAGAGTAAACTGAGAGGGTGAGGGGAGAACGTGTGGAAAGAGGGTGACGGGAGAGGGGAAGGGGGTGGGTAAGTGAAAAGGGAAAGGAGAGAGGGCGAGGGAAGAGCAAAGAGGGTGAGGGGAGAAAGGGGGAGGGGAGAGAGGGGGATGGTGAGGAGAGAGGGTGAGTAGACAGGGAAGATGGAGTGCAAAGGACAAACATTTCGGGCAGGTTGGGGGGTATTTGATTTGTGTGTGTGGATGTTTGTTGTATGTGTATGCGTGTGTGTGGCAAGTGCGAGTGCGTTTGCGTGTGTGAGTGACAGACAGACAGACAGACAGACAGACAGACAGACAGACAGACAGACAGACAGACAGGGGGTAGGTGTCAGTGAATGTGTTTGTGTTCTCTTGGCAAATTGCTTGGAGGTGTTTTTTTAACTTGTAATTTCCATTTGAAATGCTAAGACCATACTTTGAAACGTTAACTGATTCAATCGACCATCAAATATAAAAGTAGTATTTTCAAACCGTATTACCCCATTAGTAATGAGCAAATTTTATAAAACAGGTCTGTTGTCTGAGCAGATCAGGATTCTTTTCTCTACAATGAACAGCAGGACAGGAAAGCCTTTTTTAACAAGCCTTGAATGTAGGAAGAGGCTGGGGCAAATATAAAATAATATCATATTCCTGCTTTGCCAGTAATGTGCGCTATTACTTGTAAGCTCTGTCGGGAAAGATTGAGGTTCTGAATTGGATAATTATGCAATTCATAAACACTCTACTACAGAGTGGAAACTAGTGGTTGAGACTACTCCAAAGCAGAAGACAGACAGTGCATTGTATTTGTATCACAAATGTATAAGTGAATGTCATAAAAGAGTGTGCACGGGGTGAAGGTGGAGGAACGGGGGAGGGGGCTGGAGAAACTAAAAAAAGAAATTAGGGCAACTTCAAAAAAAGGAACATATGTGAGACAAGTAAACAAGCTTTAAGATGACACCAATAACTCTACATCCCCAAAAATTGACGAGAGCCTGATTCCACCACGCTGCCTCACATATATAAGCATGTGGTAGTTTGTGGTAAAGAATCTTGGAAACAGAAGAAGATGTCTTTTAAAATTACATGTACTTGCAGATGGATAAGAGAGTGAGCAATGAATTTATGAATGAATCCTGGTTCAGAAGACAACTTTACCCCAATAAACCATGATGTACTTGTCCCAGTCATGTATAGTCACACTGCCTGGGTTTTTTTAATACTGTATGTGGGTATGGGTTTAGTTATTTTATTGAGCATAAGTTTGTGTATTGGGTGGAACTGTCTTAATAATATGATAGTTTAAGTTTTAGCAGAAGATTGTCGTATGTGTATACACTTTGGTTTCAGAGAATGGGGTTTGGGGATAACGGAAAGTCAGTTTTAATTTTAGAAAGAGTTTTACAGCTCTTGCAACACACTAAGGTCATATAAGTGCCGAAGATTAGAAGTGTTACAGGAGAGTAAAAAAAAAAAAAAAAAAAGGATGTTTGATAGGAAAGAAGGAGTAAACCACACCACGTCGAGCACCCACCAACCACCCGCTCTGAAAGTCAAATAAATGTAACTAGCAGCAATCAGGTTGTTTTCTTGAAAGAGTGAATGAGTTAGATGCATGCAATTGATAGACGTCAATGTCAAATTTAAAAAATTAGCACTCTTTTTACCTTCAGCTTGAACTTAGGTTAACTTAACTTGACACACCTTTCACTTTCCGTTTTCCATTTAAGCAGGCACGACATAATCAGTTCAGTTTGTGCTGTAGTAACGTTAGGAGTGGATACTTTATAGTCGGCAGATGACATGATCCACTTGACCTCCAAGCAAAACAGATTTTATGGCCCTCCTATAAGGGGCAAACTTTAATTTTTGTTCTTTTTTTATTGTCAACAACGTTATATCAGTGTTACTATGTCTTTACATAACAACACAGACGTTCTCGTTTCATCAAGCACGGACGGATTGCAGAGGGGATGAGATATCGCTCACAGGTAGATAAAGATTTGCATTGATGAAGAGATACTATGATCATTATATAGTTCCGTCCTTGACAGGACGCCTTACATTTGGGAGAAAAATTGGCGAGTCTATGAACAGTGGCCCCCTCATGAACACTTTATTAAGATTTAAAAATTTATGTGAAATGCTGTGACATCACATACACTTCTTATTCACTATCTCAATCACCCTCCCTTCCTCTTCCTCACCCCCTCCCCAACCCCCTCTCTCTTTCTCTCCCTCTCTGGCTCACTTCCTCTCTGTCTCTTTCCTCCCCTTCCCGTCTGGCTTGCAGTCATGCCCACCATTGGGAGGAAAAAGTACAATGTATGTGAAGTATGGAATGAGACTGAATGATGAACATTTTAAATCAATTTTCTTGAGTAGCATAATATGAAATGTGTAATCAAAAAGCCAATGATGAATTTTGACAGTTATAAAGGCCAATTTTAGAAATATAACTAGTTATTATTTTATTTTTATGTTGCTGCTTCTTGGTCTTTTATTTAAATCATTTTGTTTTTAGGTGTGACAGCTTGACCTGTCTTTATTATCGTATTCAGTGAATTAATGGGACAATATCAGCCAACATTTTTAAGTCACTTAGCATTCTCTTGGATCGCTCTCAGTTACCCAGCCCATTTTTTCTTAAAAGTTTGGTGACCCCTGCGTTAAAGGATGGGTAGGGACAAAAATAATAACCCACAAACACACTCAAAAACACACACACATACACACACACACCAGGTATCATTATATAATAGAGGTAGAATGCCAATAGTAATAGATTGGTGTGCCAGATCTAAACGACAGAACAGCTCTCAGAGCCTCTCAAGAGAAAACTAAAATTGCCTGAGATCTCTAATCTAGATCTAGATCTATAATTATATTCACACGTTTTTACTGTATGCCCCACAGTAGATTCTCTAGACGAGGCTCTTAATTACAAGTATTCCGCATGCTGTTAAAATTGGCATTGGGATGCAATGAATAGAATATATCAAAAACATAATCTCAAGCAACCCAACTGCTTTTAAATCTCTACAAGCGACGTAGGCCAAGATCTAATCTAAGGATCTCGGGTCTTGCACCGCTACGCAACAGTCTACACTAGACTACAGCAGCCGAGCTTGAATTTTTAAGTTACGATAGGCCTGCACGACTGGTTCATCTTTCGACGTCATTTTTCCTGGGGCCTGAGAATTTGGCAGCTGTGTGCACATCGATAGATCTAGATCTACCCACATTCTCAGCAGTCAGGATAATAAAATAGAGTTTATTATGTACTCACAAGTAAATGCTAGCTCTTGACGATCATATACAGATGCGGTTCATAGCCCGGTAGAGAGGTCCGAAAGTGTTGCAGGCTGTACTGTCAAAGTCAAAGACCGTGGTGTAAACCGTTTACATAGAGGCCTACACACCGGGTGACTCTCAACAACACAACAATTTTGACCTCTGCCCTACAACCCTTCACCCCAAAGAGTTTGCATTAGCATCGCGATGTTTCGCTGGTTTAGGAAGGCGGAAGCAGAATAACTAACTGAAAAACAGGCAGGCAGGAAGGAAATGCGCGTAAAAGAGTGCGTTTCGATTGCACGTTATGCACTGAGTAAATTATAACCGTTAAGAGTTAGAGCGCGTGTCACAGTAAATATAGTAATCTATTTTTGTGGGGGGGAAAGCTAAGAAGAGATTTTTTTTCCTGCCTTACGCCTTTTGTTCAGGCCACTCGATCAAGAATCGAACATCAGTTTTAAAAGGAATGAAACACATCAAAAATATTGTAAATCGATGTGCTATAAAATATAAATATATGTATCACATTTTTGTAAAAGCCCTTGCACTAAAAGTCATTATGATATACATGTACAATGATTTAAATCTTATCAACGATAGGAACAAAGTGCCTAATATATTATATAATGTATTTCGCCTTTCCAGTCTCTCATGCCTACCACCAGTTGTTTTTTTAAATTTAATTAGCCTACTAGAATCTGGTCTTTGGGAGGGGGCTAAATCTGTCAGTAAGTCAGTGGGTATGTAGCCAGGATGCATGAACATCGTTTTCGCGTTTTGTTTATAATATAAACTGCAGGCCCTAGTAACGCCATTCCCTCTATCAAAAGCGTTTCTCCTTCTCATTATCATGTTGGGTCTTTGATGAATTCCTTAACTTTCCACTCTTTTGTTTTTCGGTGCAGGTCAACCACAGAATTTCTGTGAGGTCAACTAAGCTCATTTGCAGTTCTCAGAATTCTCAGTCTTTTTCAGTTAACACCAAATATTTTCACAGGTTGGCATATAACATTTTAAAGCTTCATGATGAAGAAAATCATTAATACAATGTATTGCTCATTGAGTACATTATAATATATTATGAATTTTCTTCGATTTTGCTGTTGATCTAGCAAGCCATCTCATACCTGGACACCAAAACGGTTCAACAATCGTGCTTCGGAGTGCTTCCGGCCTAGATCTAATGTACTTTCATTATCGTTATTTTGCCTTGCCAACACACAAGTTTGTTAGAAGGCGTCTACAGTTTTCTGAAGATATCCTTCATACAGAATAAAGCATGCCAAAGAAAGTTGTTCCGCCGATTTTGAATCCGCAAATTGACTCATCAGGTAAGTCATATAGGCTATGTCATGAATATACTTTTGTATTGCTCTATTATTGTTACTCGCTTCCCACTTCCCACGGCCCACGTGAAATTCATAAAGAAAATTATTCTGATCACCAGGAAGAGAGTAACTTACTCTCTTCCTGGTGATCAGAATTGGACCTCATATAATAGATCTCTAGATCTAGAATATAGATCTACCTGGATTATCTAGATCTAGAATCATCTTTGGCTCAAGATCACAATAAATGTTTGTATAACCTGAGTAACTCAGCAATACTGGTGGACTCCTCTCTTACTTAAACTTAAGAGGAGTCCACCAGTATTGCTGAGTTACTCAGGTTATACAAGCAAACATTTATTGTGATCTTGAGCCAAAGATGATTCTAGATCTAGATAATCCAGGTAGATCTAGATATCTAGATCTATATTCTAGATCTAGAGATCTATTATATGAGGTCCAAATCTCATTACATCACCGTATCATCACGTAGGCCTACATGTTGGATTTCATGTCTTTTCCGTGTATTTTTGCCTCCTGACTTAGAAATCTAGATCTAGAATCGGATCCCATCTGTGTACTCTCTCTCTCTCTCTCTCTCTCTCTCTCTCTCCCTCTTTCTCTCTCTCTCTCTCTCTCTCTCTCTCTCTCTCTCTCTCTCTCTCTCTCTCTCTCTCTCTCTCTCTCTCTCTCTCTCTCTCTCTCTCTCTCTCTGCACTGCGTATAGCTTCTCACTTCTGTTACTGTTGTAGACCTAGAATCTAGATTTTAGATCTAATCTAGATCTAGTCTAGACTCTAGATTAGATCTATTGATTGTTTTTGTTTTCTTTAAAAATGTGTTTCAACTGCTCAATCTTGGGTTTTCACATTATAGATGATGAGGATGACGATGCTCCCGAGGAAGTTAGTGTTTCCTCGTCTCGACAGCAAAAGGAGTCTCAGGAGAAAAAGATCAAAGAGTCAGAGAAAGTGAAGAAGCAGGAGGAGAAAGAAAAGAGGAGGAAAAAGAATGAGCTGTTTAATCTACAAAAGGTATAGATATCTAAATTTTATCTAGATCTATCTAGTATGCCCTGATTAAAATGCATGAGATACAATCTTTGGTGGTAATTTACTTTCATACCCTCTGGGGTGGTGATACTGACTGAAGTGTCTTTAGGCCATTCCCAAAGGGGGGACTTTAACGTATTCTTATGCACAGTAGAGTTGTAAATGCTCTGATTTAATGTCATGCTCTTAACTGTGCCTGAACTGCAACAGGGAACTGCTGCTTTTTCTTTCCTAAACCTTACTGTCGTCATTTTTCCTCTCTGCTTCTTTTTGTATGTCACACTCTTGTGACTCTATTTCCGAGGTACCTTAATAGTCGAAGGAGACTTTGTGCTGTTGAAACTAGAGAGGTGCTCATATATGACCTATGCAGTTGTGAGCGCCGTAAAAACTACTGAAACTAACTAAATTTATTTTCTCAGGTCTCGTGTTGAGGTACTGTCCATTTCTTGTTTATTTTATCCGTTTTACACGATTATTGACTTTTTATCATATTTTTTTTTAAATCGTCGCAAATAAATAGTTTTTGAAATATTTGATGGTTTTTATTCATTCTATACCACAGTATGTATGCCTGTCTAACTGCTTTGTGATTCCCACACTTTGAACCGGTCGGGGGGGGGGGGGGAGGCATGCTCCCCTGTTTTATCCCATTATTTAATGTTTTACAAGAAGGTTTGAAATTTTCTGGGAAATAATTGATTTCCAACACTTTTATATGGGCCACATGTGTGATCTGCTGCATTAAGAAACCCTGCCGTTTGACCCCCAGTGCTTCTGTGAGCAGCACTGAAAGTAAAAACCCTATCTTTTTTTTCCACTGCTTTACATCCAAATCTATCACATGTTTTTATCTCTACAGTTTCAGAATTAGAGGGAAATCTCTCAAAATGTAAAAGGGTTCTTTTATGGCGTCATTTTAATTTTAATGAATGTAGCAGGATATTTACTCTTTTGTGTGTGTTTCTTATGTAAATTGTTGTTATTGAAGTTTGGCTTTTTGCAGCGACTCCCTGTAGAAGAAAACAAACGATCACAGTCCCAAAACATTTTTCTGATCATGGAGATTTATTGTCGTTACTGGATTTTCGTCAAGATTGTGTTCAAATATATGGAGCTTATCTAGTGATAGTGCTGACAGTCACTTGGATTCTTAATTGCATAAGTGAGACATCAAATACTGGTGGTACCATCAGAACATGCTCATCGCTAGATCAAGATCCAAACATCATAGCTATTGTTACTTATTGTAAAATGTAGATCTTTATTACATTGGCACATAAAAGCTTTCCCCATGCAAAATATTACATTCAGCTCTGAATAAACAGCAGTAAAATTTGTGATGGTTGATGTAGCAGTGTTTTCCCTATAATCTTTTTTTCTGAATTACCCTCAACCCAACTGCTTTACTCAGAAGTTGCCCAGCACAGCGAGGAAGTACATAGGTTTTACCTCAGCGCTGACTCTGTTAAATCTGCTTTGATATTTGTGAGTCTCTCTGTCTCTCTCTCTCTGTCTGTCTCTCTCTCTTTCTCTCTCTCCCTCTTTCTCTCTCTCTCTCTCTCTCTCTCTCTCCCTCCCTCTCTCTCTTTCTCTCTCTCTCTCTCTTTCTTTCTCTCTCTTCTGGCGCTGTGGGGATTATTTATGAGTCCAAAGTCCTGACACTTACATATTCTTCTTTTAGCAAAAGAAACTGGAAGACCTGAGCAAAAGGAAGCTGCCCCAAGATGTGCTGGATGCTGTCTCTGCGAGTACGTCAAAGAAAACCAAACTGGGTGAGTTGATCGTGCTTTTTGTCATGGTGAATTGATGTGCATGGGTGAGACAAAGAGTCTGAGAAAGATTGCTAGTGTTTTTGTGTGTGTGTACGAATGTAAGAGAACTTGCACACATGTGTGGGAGGAAAAGAAAGATTGCCAATCTTTTTGAGTGTGTGTATGTGAACTTTGTCTTTACATAAGGCTGTTTAAAGGAGGTACTTTTTGTCAGTGTATATTATAAAAGTTGCTTGACTCGTGTAGTTGCTTGTGTGTTTGGTTCCTACTTTGTTTGGTCAGTGAAATCCTCAAATGTAAACCTAACTTAAAATTTTCAGTCTGCAATTTAAAAAGAATTACCATTCAATGCTATGAAAGCGGTCATCTTTTTGTGTAAAATTTTCTAATGCATTTCCAATGCAGAGCATTTTGCATTTGAATTTCCAAGATAAAAAAGGTTTTATTTGGATTGGTCTTACCTCAAGCTTCATGTATATATTTTTATATATATATATATATATATAAACAATACTCTCTGAAAAGATAAATGAAGCTTCTTAGAATGATATTCCCTGATGGATCCCTCTCTCTGTTTGTAACAATGAACAGAGAATAAAGGAGAGACCACAACACAAGATGATGGGGAAGATGGCAATGCTGATGATGACAGAGACTCTGCCGAGGATCGGCTGTCGGATAGCGGGCTGGAAAATGATGATGAAGTCGGAGACGACGACGACGACTTTCTTTCTCTCAGGTTGCATTTTCACCTTACTTATGCTGCTTTATCGTTGTTTATTTTTAATGTCTCTTTTTTTTCACAATATGGGTGGTTTCTGTTTTAATCAAGCTCATTGTGTCTGTAGTACCAGTCATTTCTTGGTGGCCTGTGTCGTGTTTGTGATTTCCTATCACGTCGTGAATACAAGGAAGGATCGATAACAGAACACAGCGGATTATGCACAGAGGTTTAATGGCTCATATTGCGGCCGGCACACTCGAAGTGCGAAAAAAAACCAAGGACAGTAGCGAAATGAAGCGAGACTGTAATTAGGTTACCGGAACACAGGAAGTGAAACAATGAGGTCGTAAGTAGCGTAAACATTAAAATATCATGACAGCCTGCCTCTTCAGAGACTTGTCTGATGATGTTAATTTTCTTCCAGGATCCTCAATTACATGTTGAGTATGAGGTCGCTGGTGTGTTGTGTGAGAGTGAACCTTCGTTCTTATCAAACATCTATGGTCCTTATATTTTCTCCTTGTATTTGGTGTTTGTTATTTGCTTGTAACACCTCTAATCTTCTGCACTTTTATAACCTAATTGTGTTGCAAGTGCTGCAAAACTTACAAAAATAAGAAAAGAATTGCATGGTCTGATGTCCTGGAGAAATTATGTACATCATTTGGGTTTGATTAAATCGATAGTGGATTCTTTAAAACTTGTAGAAACAGGTATATGTGGAAGTACTCTTTAGTTTTGATATAACTGACATGAGTGAAACGATTGCTGTGGCAAAATATAAGAGAAAGGCATAATACAGGTTCATTGATGGAAAGATGAAACGGTAATTGAAATGACTTGTTTCAGCATGTGTGTGTCTACAAGAAACTCTGCCTGAACTCTTAAAACCTCATTTATTGTGCAAGATCCTTTGACTTTTGAGTGTATCTATCATTATTTTATTTGAAGAAGCTATTTTTCATTTTGTTTTCATATATATGATTTTAAACATTGCGTAACTTCTGTGTGGCTTCATTGTGAAGTCAGGTGCTCATCAAAATAATGAAATAGGAGAAACCGGCATTTTTCCGCCTGTTCAGAAATTTGTATTGATTTTGTTGTTTTTTTACCCAACACCTTTTGCGTCTATTTAATTTTATTTTAAAATACTGCTGTGTGGATTTTACTGAAAAACGTTCAAGATTCAAAGGCACAAAAATGTAAATTTTCAGTTTCCAATGACTTTGACTCTCAAACTTTGGTTCGGAAGTCACCAAACTTTGGTGGCCATTTTCTGGCTAATTTCACCTCCGATGCCATGGGACCCCCACCCTCTTTCAATCGCAGATATCTCAACTTCTATGGGGTGGGGGTTTTTGTCATGAAAAGCAATGTGCGTGAACAAGCTTTATGGTGGTACTGAAAACTCTACATGCTCAAAAATTGACGAGTGTCTGACTTTGCCGTGTTGTGGCACATGTCATATTTTCCGACAAGTAGATGATGTTCATTTTTTTCCCCCCACAGCAAACCACAAGGTATTGCCGTCATGACTCACAAAGCACTGGAGGAGAAAAAAATGACCTCCACAGAGCGAGCCCTTCAGTTCCGCCAGGACCGTCTCTACAACCAGAGCGCAATACCGAGGGAATCTTGTAAGTGAAGGCTTCTGTGTTCTTTGTGCACGTCTTACGTCGGAAGGGAAGAAAAATCAGTAGGTGCTTGCGTCAACAAGATATGCAAATTTGTTTCAGACCTTGATAAAAATTTCACTCTGGGGTTCCACTGAATAGAAACAGGGTTTTGTACTTAAGTCCTCCAGTTTGGAAGATCTGTCTCTTTTGTTTTGTTTTTGTAAAGTGTTTTACGGCGCTCTCAACTGCATAAGGTCATATGAGCGTGCGGGACACACCTAATATTTTCAGTTGGTAGGAAATTTTGAATTTTGCGCGGGTGGCGGCCGAAGCCTACTCTTAACGATTTTAGACCACCAAGGGATCTTTAACGTGTGCAACTTGCACACGGGCCCTCAGAGATTTTTCGCCCTTGTCCGAGAAGGCTAGGTGTAGATCTTTCCTACCAGAAGATCAGGGGTGTGGCAGAAAGACAGCAGTAAGGAGGAGCCTAGGAGTAGCAGTAGAAAGGCTGCAGAAAGAGTCAAGAGCCCAGAGGAGGTGGCAAAGGAGGTGAGGGGGTGGGGGCAGAAAGTGGAAATGAAAGCAGACAACAGAACATTGCTAAAGAGCAGGAAAGGAGGTGAAAGGAGACAATTTTTAGAGGAGGAAATTTTTCGGTCGCTACCCGGATTCGAACCCGGGACCTTTTGAATGAGAGGCCAACACCTTAACCTCTAGGCCACGAGAGCCCCCGAATCTGTCTCTAAATGTCAGATAGTTGCTTCAGGTACAGTGTTATCTCTTGTCGTCCTTCAAGAAGTTTTGTGAACTTTTTTTTGAAAATTTACGTTTTGAATTCTTTTGTGGCATTTTCCCCTCGTCTACTTTTTAAATTCTGATACGATAGTCTTTTTTTGTTTGCTACAGATGGTTCTCAGTTCAATTGTTGCTGTATGTTTGTAAAACACAACAGAATGGATACGTTTTTGCAATGTTAAGTTGGTTGTTGCTGGTAAAGTTACAGAATTTTATTAACAGCCTTGGCATTTTATGGTGTGGATAAGTTGCTGAATTTTCTTCCTCGTCAGTTCTGTGTTTCACCTGGTCTTTTTTTTTTCTCTCTTTTCTAGCAAGTGAAATCTTATCTCTGTCAAGCCCTTGATGAAGTAAACAACATTTTTTCATAGGGATGTGAAAGCTTAAAAGATTTAAACTTATCATCTAATCCCAAGTGTGATAACTTTTTCCATCCATGCCTGTTGTTTGTAATTCTTCCTGGTGGAGTACACGGTGACGGTAGAGTCCGTTCTTCTGTGAGTGTGTAGTTGGTGGATGAGTCTTTCCCTTCTGCTTCTTGGCGGGTGCTCTGGTGTGGTTTGCTTCTTCTTTCCTATCAAAATCTATCTTCTTTATCTCCCCTCCTTCTTTTTTATGTTTGTTACTTGTAACACCTCTAATCTTCTGGCGCTCGTATGACCTTATGCAGTTGCGAGCGCCTTAAAACCTCTACGAAAACTACGAAACTTCTGCTTCTGTACAGTAGTGTTGTTATCGTTTTGCTTTGTTTCAAATGAAATGTTCATTGGGGCATGGACTCTGCCGAGGCTATGAATGGTACAACGACTATTTGTGAGTTGTGTGATAAAATGAATTTCTTGCGTGGGTTGTTGGTGGGTGCTGTGGTGTGGTTTCCTCCTTCTTTACTTTCAAATGTCTGTCGTCCTTATCTCCCCTTCTTCTTTTTTTAATGTTTTGTTACTCTCTTGTAACACCTCTACTAATCTTCTGCTGCTCATATGACCTCGTGCAGTTGCGAGCACCGTAAAACCTCTCCTGGAATAAGGCTATGAATGGTACAATGACTATTTGTGAATTGTGCTGATAAAATGAATTTCTCGCAATCCGTGGATGCAGATATTTTGGCCAAAAATCGACACAAGAGTTAAATTTGCAGATTTTCGACTGATGTCAAATTTTTCAAGCTAAAAATGTCTTTCACCATTTCATACTAATAAATTGCACAAACTCAGCCAATAAATTCGGCATGTATCCATTTCCAAAGGGCAAAATTCTGAGAAGTAACTCATTTTGTCAAAACTCACCTCACATTTCTGACTCACTTTTTGTTTTCTGTCCTGCTGTTGCCGATGTTAATGAATGAACCTTTGCCTTTCTACTGAACAACTAAGTCTCTTACTCTTAGCTTTATTTTGCTGCTCTTTCTTTCCTGTCAAACATCTATCGTCCTTATCTCCCCCCTCCTTCTTTTTTATGTTTGTTACTCTCTTGTAACACCTCTAATCTTCTGGCACTCATATGACCTTATGCAGTTGCGAGCGCCGTAAAATCTGTACTAAAATTAACTGACCTGATCTATTTCTTATTTTTTTGTTTCACAACAGATAAACAGAGACAAGCAAAGGCCCAGAAGCAGAAAGCTTTCAAAATGCGGTGATTTCAGGAATGTTTTGTGTTACAATAAAAACAATAAAATATGAAGATGGAATCATCAATATCGTGTTATGTTTTGTTTGTTGTTTTGTATATTATATTTGTGTGGTCTGCTTATGATAAGAAAGTAAAACCCAAATTTTTTAAAACTTTTTCTTCTCTTTTCTCTTTCTTCATTCTATGGTAATGCCAGACTTCTTCACAGTTTATACAATGTTGGTCAAGGTACTTCAGAGTGTGGGTGGTTGGCAGGTGCTCTGGTGTGGTTTGCTCCTTCTGTCCTATCAAACATCTATCGTCCTTATCTCCCCTTCTTCTTTCTTATGTTCGTTGCTCTCTTGTAACACCTCTAATCCTCTGGCGCTCATATGACCATATGCAGTTGTGAGCGCCGTAAAACCTCTACTAAAACTAAGTACTTCAGAGTATCTGCAGGTTTTGCTCCTCAACAGGCACTGGCTTAGGGTCTGCCCCATGTTGCTGGCTCAAACAATGGGTTATTTCAGCAATTTTGTGATGGTGAAAAAAAAAAAACATGACTTGCCCTTCTGTTTTGTTTAACTCTTTTGAAACATGTACCCAATAAATTAACATCAGGACTTCCTGAATGTGTGTTTTAAAAAAAACAAAAACAATTAGCTGTAATAGACTTCTAGATCTTTGACTGTCCTCGTGGTTTTATTCACCCCGCAAAATTTAACGAAATTTGATCATTTTTTGCTTACTTTCTGATTATTTTCCTTTATCATTCTTTGTTTAAATTGCCAGAATTGCAAAATTTCACTTTTTCAGGGGGCTCAGTTTGCATAATTTCATAATTTTTTTTGCGTAAAACCGTGGCGACAGATTAGAGTTAGGGTGCATCCTTTTTGTGGCGGAGGTCTCTCTGTTTCAGCTTGCTTGTTGTAGTTCAAGGAAGGCAAGTGAATACAGTTGTCACTTTATGCATGTTGTAGTGAAGGGAACAAGGAAAAAAGGATAAAAAACAAACAAGATGGCACTTAGCTGAAAATATATATATATAGATCTATATAACAGGATAGGGGAGAAATAAGACCCATCAGTGACGCCTTTCACTTTCAATTTCAACCACCAATGCTTGCACTTCTTGAACTCTTAACAATTGTGAATGTGAGTCAAATAAAACTCATAATGCATACTTCTTTCCTATCAAACATCTATTTTCTTTTCTCTCCTTCTTATCTTTGTATGTTACTCTCTAGCAACACCTCTGATCTTCGGCACTTATATGACTTAATTGTGTTGCAAGTGCTGTAAAACTCATGATACTAAAACTAAAAGTAAGAGAATTTATCTGATCTGAATATATGAAGGCTTGTCTATATGACCAAGGTTTCAGCCATTGCAGTCTCTTTCGGAGCCTTTAGAGTTTGTCCAGAGACTCTGCACTTCATGAACCCAGAACAACAAAATTCCATGTCAGCTTCTGAAGTCACGGTCACTTTTGAGATTTTCTGTCCCTGTTGTTTTAAGCAAGAAAAATTCTGAAATTACGCAAAATGAGCCAAAAAATGTGAAATTATGCGAATCTGTTAATTTTAACAAAGTAAGATAAAGAAAAATAATCAGAAATTATGAAAAAAAGGATCAAATTTTGCTAAATTATGCGGGGTGCATAAAACCACAGGGACCGGATTTTTTAGGTCAGAGGTTTCACACACTTTCTATATAATATCTCTCTCAAATAAAGCAGTGAATTGTCACGGTTTTCACTTGGGGGGGGGGAGGTGATGAAGGAATAAGAGTTTTAACTTGTTTGAATATGATGAAGATGAATTAACTCTGTAGTGTCAAGCTAGTTAGTTAGTGCAGAAGAGACAAGATCTCAGACACTTTCCGCGCCAGAAACTTGTTCTAGCGACACCAGGTAATGTGCATGAGATTTTTTAGGTCAGAGGTTTCACACACTTTCTATAATTATCTCTCTCAAATGAAGCAGTAAATTGACACGGTTTTCACTTGGGGGGGGGGGGGAGGAGGCGATGAAGGAATAAGAGTTCTAACTTGTTTGAATATGATGAATGAACACTGTAGTGTCAAGCTACATGTAGTTAGTACAGCAGAAGAGACAAGATCTCAGACACTTTCCGCGTCAGAAACTTGTTCTAGCGACACCTGGTACAGTAATGTGCACAAGTATGTTTGCTGGTGGAGTATTATAAAAATAGTATGGTTTGGAGTAGGCTACAGTGGAAACCATATATAACGGGCCCGATAATAACAGGGATTTTTTAATTCCCCGTTTTTTCCTCTTTGTCTCTATTTAAAGTTATCTGCAATAACAGGACCTCATCAGAGCCCAATCGGTTACAGCAGGGGAAAAGGCTTGTTAATAATGCGTTAAGAGTAAGACTAAGAGAGAGAAAACCAGTAATGGAGCAAGCCACACCACTGCAAGCAAATGCAGCAGGTGAAGCAAGAGAGGGCTCGGTGTGCTGCAGACTTCGATCTAGCCCTAAGGTTAGCGACACGTACGCGTAATGTGTTATATATGTACAGGCTTGACACATGGACAAAACCCCGGTTCGTGAGTACTTGTGACAAGGGAAACTACCCATGAATAAATACAGCTGGATTAGTCCACAAATGCTTACTTCCCTTGTATTTCTGATTTACCATGATCAGATCTAACATGACTTTTTCTCTAGTCTCACCATCCCTGTTATATCAGGTTTCAACTGTATAATGAAGATCCCATTCTTGTTTAGGAATGTCCTTTCTTGGGTAATCGTGTTTATATCTAGTGGAAAGCAATAGACTTAAATAGATTTTAAACTGAAAAACTGTGGTTGCGATTCCTAGTTGGATGTTGCGTCCTTTTTTTCTCCCGCCAACCAGATGGAAATTTGTACTTCACTTTTGGCATAGACTGAAATCTAAGATACTGAAGCGCTTTATTTCCCCAGTGGCAGCTAGTGGAAATAATTAAATAGCCAGTAGAAATAATTGAACTGGCGCTGTGTAAAATATAAAATAATTATTTCAGTGGTAAAATAGCGAAAAGGTTTTAATGCAAAACTGGTGATTCGACTTTACACTTTTTCATTTGTTGAAGAGCTCTACTAGATTTTATAAACAAACCAACGGGAATTTCCGGACTTGAAGGCCTGTCTTGTTGTTGTTGTTATCGATCCAGACTTGCGGACAGGATTATATTGTTGTCTTTCGAAGAACGGAGGCTGCCCAACTAGTCAATATTGTGGGGGAAAACTAAACAACAAAATAAAGCAGAACAGTCAGGCTCAACGGTACATGACATAATGACATTGAGTCATTGAGGAAATGGTTACGTAAAAGAAAAACGAGAGATGTCTGAATTACTGTTTGTGTCAGAAATGACAGTGTAGTAAAGACAGTAAAGTGTAAAATTAAAGTAGATCTGTCTAGATATCTAGATCTAGATCTATTAAAATCTTGATATACTTAGAGAAAGAAACCTGATTCAGTTTTTCATAAGTAAAACCTTGAGGTCTAATAGAACAAAATTATCATGCGAGGAGATAACAAAGACTAAGAGAAGTAAAGTTAAACAGAACACCAAACTCATAGATTATAGGCCTACTTTAAATTTCCTTTAAATTTATTAGGATTCCTCCCTTACAACGAAAATCCTGCTATAACGGACATTTCGTACCGGTCCCCTCCCTCTCGTTATAAATAGGATTCCAAAGTAACTTAGTAGGCTATTGATGAGTTGATATCGGCCTAGTTGGGGGAGTGAAAAAACTCAACCGTAAAGAAGTTCCGGACCTGAGAAAAAGATCAACGTAAGTCGTAATGTCACTTATCTTATGTTGTCGTGTAAACGATTTCAATGACAAGTACTGAATTGTTATTTTCTCTGTTTGAATTGTAGATTCCAGAGATATAATATAATGGCAGCATCTTCAGGACATGATTCTGACAGTGAAGAATTTTCCAAACCAATATTTCACAATGGACGATATCAAAACCCATGGAATACATGGCGTAAACCTACAGTGGGTGGACTTTTAAAATTCATCGTCACTCGCAAAGATCGCTCTGGGATCCCAAAGAAAGAGGTAGGCTAAAATTAGAAAAGTAGAAGCACCTTAAATTAGTTTAATTGTTAATTCATTGCTATTTTTTAAAACTTTTTAAGGTTTATGTGTTATATATGTTCTTCTTGTGTCACTTTGGTAAAATTTTTAGTTTGATTCAAATAGTTCCTTTGCTGACTTATTTACCTTTCATCTCTGCATTGTAGACTTTTGGAAATATAGAAGGTGTGTTCTAGCTCTGTGTGGACATGTATTATCTTCAGCAGTAAAAATAGTTCTAATAATAATGATCATAATAGAGATAGCATTTATTTGTGTAGCACACATTCAACAGCAAACTATGTACTTAAGAATATATATATATAAATATATTCCCAGCAGACCTGAAAGCGTTCTGAAACAATCTCAACTTCCTGGGAGGCCATAAGCCAACAGTGACATAATTAAGAAACAAAGATTTTAAAATGTTTTTTTTTCTGCTGTTCAGGTTTTAGATGAGACTCTACCAGTACTGAAACCAGATTTCTCAGTGTTTAATTCATCACCTGAGACTGGCATCAGGCACCTGTGGATCGGACACGCCTCCTCCTTGCTCCAGTTTGATGGCATCACTGTTTTAACTGACCCAATTTTCAGCGAGCGATGTTCCCCGACACAATGGTTCGGCACTAAGAGATTCCGTCCTGTGCCCTGCACTGTCGAAGAGTTGCCTCGTGTGGACTGTGTCGTTATCAGCCACAATCACTACGACCACCTCGACTACGGCACTGTCTCAGCTCTCAATGCAAAGTAAGTATGTAATCCTACAGGAAAACCCTGATCAGTGATAACACATATTTAACTTCATCGGACCGCAGAATTTCTGCCTCTTATAATGCAGATTTCCTATTTTGGGAAGTTGCAATGCACAGAATAAAGAGGGGGGGGGATGGGGATTTGAATTCCTATTGTGGTAACTAGAATTTTGTGTGAAACGGAGTGATAAAACATCCCAACAGAAAGACTGAGGGCTTACCTAGGCTGAGAGGCATAGAACGTTCTAACACAAAGACTAAGAATACTGAGATACTTGGTGAAACTTAATCTCACACAAAATTGAACTAATGTCTTTTTCATGTGAAAGCAAAACACCCAACTGCTAAACCACTGACCATGGTATTATGCCAAAGAAGATGTAAATCATGTCTGTATTTTGTATTCTACATTTTCGGGGGGGGGGGTTAATTCCATCGATATCTCATAGGTGCTCAACATGATGATAATAATGAATATGGATTCCACTGTAAAAAAAAAAAATTCTCAATGCATCTAATTTTGATAGACAAAGACCTAAACTTTAGCTAAAAACAAGGAATAGAAAACATCCACCACATGGTCAGGCAAAAATGCCAATTTTCTATTTTTCTGATGCTAGTTTTGTGAACAACTAATTCAAACTGAAGCACCAAAATCTTATTTTTGTATTCATGAAGAGTGTCGTGTTGACAGATTTGGTGTGGGGCTGCAGTGGTTTGTGCCGATGGGCCTGAAGCAGTGGATGTCGCAGAGCGGCTGTCAGAACGTGGTGGAGCTTTCTTGGTGGGAGGAGCATGTGTATCCCGGGCCCGATGGGGATGTGAGGTTTGTGTGTACGCCGAGCCAGCACTGGAGCAAGAGGACGGCCATCGACGACAATAAGGTGAAACATTATAGTTAGTTGTAATACATTAGCCTTAATCATCATCATCATCATTGCCTTTCTCACCCTGCACCACGGGCAAACACCTTCCACCTTTCTCTATCCTGGGCTAGCCTCTTGATGTTATTCCATGTCTTCCCACTTTTCTGTACATCGATTTCTGTGATTCTTCTCCAGGTTCCACGCGGTCTTCCCCTTGACGCAGTCCTTCATTGTTCCTGCTGAATATTAGTTAATAAAATGTCGGAAATTAGGAAATCTTTGTCTTTTCCTGCAGGGATAACAAAGGTAGCATTTCTCTTTCTGTGGGTCGTGTGGGTGGGGGGGGGGGGGGATTTCTTGCCTTAGTTGAACAGATATATATGAACAGATATATATAATAATAATGTATAATATTAATATTATATATATGTAGAGTCATTTAAGATAATGCTATAGAAATCACTTCAGACGCAAGTCTTGAACTAGTTTTCTTTTATTGTTTTCTGTGAACCAAATTTTCTTATTTGTGTGATATCACGGTGAACTCAAGCTCTCGTCAAATTAGTTAAATAGAAAAACACTGCATTTTTCTGCCCACTGGACCATTTTTTTGTATCGATTTTTAAAATTTTGGGCACAACGCCTTTTTATGTCCATTTAAAACACATTCCTGCATGTTTACCGAAAAAATAATTTATCAAAGGCACAAGAAAGTGTAAATTTGCAGTTTCTAAAGACACCACTGCTTTGGGAGTCACCAAACTTTGGCGGCCATTTACTCGCTAATATTACCTTTGACATCAGGTGACCATCCCCAGCTTCAATATCTAATCATTTGTCTTTTTTTTTCAAGATAATTTTTTTCCCCCTCAATGCAATGCAATTAAACAGGCTCTCAGATTATACCAATAACTCAATATACCCCATAAAAATGATGAGCGCCTGATTCCACCACATCGTGACAAATCTCTGTCTTTTTAAAATTTTGTCTTTCAATTCACGAAGCCGCAGTAGCACCGTGTTCCTTTTCACCAATCTACAGACCCTGTGGGCGAGCTGGTGCATTCTGGGTCACAAACACAAGTTCCATTTTGTTGGAGACTCGGGCTACTGTGAAGCCTTCAAACAGATTGGGAAACGCTATGGCCCCTTCCACTTATCCACGATTCCTATTGGTGCATACTGTCCCAGGTGACTGTCTTATTACACCCGCTCACCAGCCTAACCTTTTAACAACAACAAAATGTGACCCAGCATGGAGGACTGGGATTATTGCGTGTAGGCTGTAATTATAATATCTATAGTAATGACAGTCAGTGGATAAATTATAAATAACTACGGGTATCTAAGAACAGTTAACAGTATGCACATAGCGAACACGCACACATAGTAAAACATTTAGGGGCCAATATGGTGTCCTCTGCAGCCCCCCAGACTCAACTCTAGGTAAGGAGACCTCCTTTCCCCCCCAACTTCTTTCTCTCTATCTCTCTTTCATGTTCCACCTTGCTCATGTGCCAATTGTCTTTTCTAACTTCAAGTCGTCTAAAAATGCTCCACTTTCAACTTTCTGCCATTAATATCTCTTTGTACAAAGCCAAGGTAGAGTAGGTGAAAGTTGAACTTTCAGGTGCAGGGGATGAAAGGCACTACTACAGCAGATTTTGTTATCCTCTTTGTTGAGCATACAGAGTTTAGAGTTTGTTATGTTTAGAGGATTTTAAAAATTCAACACCCCCTCCTCCCCCCCCCCCCCCCGGGCAGTGCCACTGACTGTAGTGTCTTTAGGACATTCCCAGAGGGGTGACATTTCTGGTTCATGCACAGTAGAATTGTAAATGGGCTGATTCATGTCACGCTCATAACTGTGCCTGATTTACAACAGGGAACTGCTGCTTTTTCTTTCCTGATCCTTACTATTGTCATTTTCCTCTACTTCTTTTGTATGTTTGTCACTCTCTTGTGACCTGCTATTTCAGGGGTGCCTTGATAGTCGAAGCAGACTTTGTGCTGTTGAAGCTAGAGAAGTGAGCAGAGTTAGTCTGATTCCCTGTAAAGACTTCTCTGTTGACACCCACCCCTTGGCGCTCTTATGACCTTATGCAGTTGCGAGTGCCGTAAAACCCTCTACTACTAAAATTCAAGTCCTTGTTTTTCTAACGGACATTGCAATCATTTCCACAGGGATTTTCTGTCCCCCCAGCACGTGGACCCAGAACATGCGGTGGACATCCACGTTGACCTCCAGTCCCAGACGTCCATCGGCATCCATTGGGGAACCTTCAAGATGCTCTCGTGTGAGGTGAGTAGTGAGCCTTCACCTCTTTGTTTGTTGAGGACAGAGGGACTACGATTCGGTGTGCTCTGTTTCTGTATCTTGCTACGGTTCACCTCAAGATTCTGGGGTCTATAACAATACAATTGTAAAATTAAGGTGTTTTGTTTCATCCTCACAAGCTTCTTATTCGTGGAATTTTCTGTCTTGGGACCAAATCATCATCATCATCATTAAGTGTGGGTGGTTGGCGGGTGCTCTGGTGTGGTTTGCTTCTTCTTTCCTATCAACTATGTATCTTCCTTATCTCCCCTTCTTCTTTTTCTATGTTTGTTACTCTCTTGTAACACCTCTAATCTTCTGGCGCTCATATGACCTTATGCAGTTGGGAGCACCGTAAAACCTCTACTAAAACAAAACATCATTAAGTGCCCTCCATCCCGAGGTGGTGTAATAGGTTGTTGTTGTTGTTGTTTTCAAATCCCTTTAGCTGCGAGCATTTCGCTCTTGGCAGCGCAATGCCTCCCTCAAGTAACCACATGTCCTTGTCATGTCCTGGTCAGCACCAGAGGTGTAATAGATAGTCTAGTGGTTAGCAGACCATTTGATGTGTAGTCCTGATATTGCGGATTGGAGGGTTCAAGTCTCAGCTCAGCTTTTTACATGAATTTTCTCATTCAGCTTGGTCTTATCGGAGATGAAAATTGAATCTAATAAAGGTCCAGTCTCTTAAATAACCTTAGAGTAGAGTGTTGCAAAGAGCGCTAAACCTATTCAATTTCACACATTTTTTTTCAATCCCTTCAGCATTACTTAGAGCCTCGAGAAAAAGTGAAAGAAGAACTTGAGAAACGAGGACTGAGTCCAACTGCCTTTGTGACGGTCAGTCACGGCAAAATCCAAGTCTTCTAGTGAAACTGAGCAGTGAAAGCCCAGGCATGTGAGTGGGAAGAGTTAATTAAAACCACATTGTCTGTAACCTTCAGCCCGTTTCCTTGATGATTTTTACAATATGTGAGGCATCGTGGTAAAATCAGGCGCTCGTCAAAATAATGAAATTAAAGAAACAGGTATTTTTCCTTCAGTTTGGCAATTTTTATTGAATTTCTGTTTTTTGGCTCAACACTTTTTATGTCCATGTAAAATACATTTCCATTTGAATATATTTTACTGAAAAACGTTGATTAATGGCAAAAAATATGTCAGTTTTCAGTTGTCAGGGACTCTCAGGCTATAGAAGTTAGCAAACTTTAGCGGCCATTTTCTTGATAATTTTACCTCTGAAACCATGCTACCCCTACCTCCTTAAATGGCAAATATTTTAACTACTATTTAAGATAGATGGGCAAAAGAACAAGCTTTCAGATGGTACCAATAACTCCACATCCCCAAAAACTGAGGAGCGCCTGATTCCACCATGCCGTGACACATATAATTCTCTTTTTCTGTTGGTGTCCGTTATCCTCTTTTCATCCCTCTGTTTTTCCCTCTTTCCTCTCCATCCCCTCCCCCCCTCCCCCCATTTGTAGCAAAAGAAAGCTGTTGTTATGAAGTAAATGTCATCAGTACCAGTCAGCATTGCCTCTTCATGTATTTTACAGTTAATTTCCAAGGTAATCTTTAACCCTATCCGTACGTTGTGTTTTACTATCGTATCCATACGATGTGAGGAACTCTGTGCCACCACTTTCCAAAGAGGAAATTTACTCGTAAATCCGATCTGTACGCTTTGCATAGCAGTCTGTCAAAATGATTTTTTGAGAAATACTGAAAGTTGCAAAGAGATCTTCATGCTAAAAGTATTCTAAAATGTGAAGAATACAACCCCGGGGGTACAAAATGACCCTGAGGCATACGGATAGGGTTAAACTTGCACCAAAAGAAAAAAAGTTATTTTTAACCTCAAATTGCACAGAAGTGCTTTACTATTACAACATACAACCCTAACTGAAAGCAAAAGATTATGAGTCATAGTATGACAACCAATGAAATATTACAAGTCACTTTCCCTCCCTCAACGAGTCCACCATTGATTATTTTCACTCACCACACACCTCACACCTTGCTGGTCTTGTTACAATGTTTTCAAAACTTTACTTGATTACTTGATCCTGGGAACAACAACATCATAGCACTCCAGGCAGTGCCTTACGTGCTCCACTTCCCGCTCCAATATCCACTTCAGAGTCCATCTGCTGATCGTTCTGCTACATGTATTCATTTGGTTAATAGCCCGTCTTTCCGTCCTCGCTACCATGCTGGTTCTGCCACTTCCTCTGAAGACACCCAGTTCTTCAAGTCGTGAGATTGGCGCATAGTCATGCTCAATCTCCTCATCTTCAAGTGCGGTGGCAAGGGCCTTCATTTCAAAACATCTCTCAATATTTGTGAGGCAGCGTGGTGGAATCAGGCTCTCGTCAATTTTTGGGCATGTAGAGTTAATGGTATCATCTTAAAGCTTGTTCACTTGTCTTTATTTGGTTGAAAAAATATCCATTTATCTTGAATACAAGTCGAGATATTTGTGAATGAAGGAGGTGGGGGTCACCTGTTTTCAGAAATAAAATTAGTGAGAAAATGGCCGCCAAATATTAGTTATTCCTTTAGCTTAAGAGTCCGTGGTAACTGAAAATTTACGCTTTTTGTGCCTTTAATCAACGTTTTTCAGAAAAATCCGAACAGAAATGAGTTATTTAATGGGCATGAAAGGTGATGAACCAAAAAACAAAATTTTGATAAAAATTCGCAAACCTGCGAAAAAATGTAAGTTTGTTCACTTTAATTATTTTGACGAGTGCCTGATTCCACCACGCTGCCTCACATTTGGTACGTGGACTGTGCACTCTGACTAGTGTAGTTTGCAACAACTGTTCCTCAGTTGGCTCAGTCTGTTCAGATGTGTAAGGTATTTATAAGGTGTTATTTCACTTAACTGTATGTTATTGTTAGAACTTTGGTCATTTTAATTGTTTCAGCCCCCATCAACACAGTCTTCATCATGAAGGGGCAGGGCTGCTTCTTTTTCTTCTTTACATTCCCCTGCTAGAAAATTGATCTTTTGTGTGCTGCATGTAATGACAAAGCGGAGCTCTTAACAGTTCTTTCCTTTTTAAAAATCAAACTTAAGTATTCAATGATTTTGGAAGCCTATAAATTCTATAATTCTATATTTCTATATATATATTTCTAATTTATCCATTTTGGTGCTTTAACATAGTGTGGACTTCATTCTGGTAAATCAATTACGTAAAAAAGAAATTTGAAGAAAAAAAAATGTGTGTTTCATACCCAGTACTTGAATTTAATATATTGGGTGTTGCATTTTCAATTTTGCCCAAATCACTCTCATCTGTCTGCCAACTTAAATTGTTTGTTATTGTTTTGTTTTTGTTTGGTTTTTTTGTAACAAAGATCAAAGCAAGAACGAAGTAATTGACCTATATATGGACCCAGAGGACAGATAAACCTGAGTGAAGGAGACGGACTGCTTCAACACTGCCGCCAGTCAGGACCAGCCTCGGCTGAAACAGAGAGGGATACAACAACATCCCGCGGCCGGGAGGGATAAAACATCCCTTGACTGAGAGGGATAAAACGTCCCTTGACTGAGAGTGATACAACATCCCGCGGCCGGGAGGGATAAAACGTCCCTCGGCTGACTGAGAAGAAAACAACAACATCCCACGGCCAGGAGGGATAAAACATCCCTCGGAAACAGATCTGTCACAACTGTGTGCACCAGGCCAGCTGTGTACTTAGTTTTATTTTAAGATGACTGTAAAAAAAAAAAACCAACTGAAAGTCTGAAAGGGGTGGTAGGTGGGGGAGGGGGGTGTTTATAATTTATCGGAATGGAATTGAGAAATTTTCTTATTCAAAAACCTCTTTTACAGCACCCCGGTAGGCTACTCAGTTTTTCTGATGTTTGGGCATGTAGAGTTGTTGGTATCATCTTAAAGCTTGTTCACTCGTCTCTATTTGGATGAAAAAATATCCATTTATCTTGAATACAAGTCAAGATATTTGCGAAGGAAGGAGGTGGGGGTCACCTGTTTTCAGAGGTAAAATTAGTGAGAAAATGGCCGCCAAAGATTAGTTATTTCCTTAGTTTACGAGTCCGAGGTAACTGAAAATTTACATTTTGTGCCCCTTTAATTAAGGTTTTTCAGAAAAATCCACCCAGAAATGAGTTCTTTAATGGGCATGTATTGAAAGGTGTTGGGACAAAAATCTAAAATTTGATAAAAATTCACAAACTTGCGGAATAATGCGCATTTCTTCACTTTGATTATTTTGACGAGAGCCTGATTCCACCACGCTGCCTCACATTTATGTTTTGTAATATTTGTATGTATGGTGACATGTCAGTGTAAGTTTTGTGATACAGAGTGTGGATATTATGCCTTTGCTTACTGTAAATATTATCGTGTATTAACATGTGAATTCTTAGCATACAAACTACAACAATAAAACCCTGTAAAAGATCTACAAAAGTTTGCATCTTAATTTTTCAAGCCTATTTTATGTACCATTCCCGTTCACACTGACCTACCTATGCCTTGAGCAGTTTGTAAAGCATCCCAGCTCCACTGTCTATCAAAAGTTATACAAGCAAGCTGTTGGTAGGGACACACCCTCTTTTACCCATAGAAGGTGAAAGATCTTGTCAGTATGTTAGAGTTTTTGCATCTATAAATGGCTGCTTGCACTGCATGCTTCCCAGGAAGTTGAGGTTGTTTCATGATGCTCTCAGGTCTGCTGGGGTAATAGTATAGATTGTGAAGCACATAGAGCTTGCTGTTGAGCAGGGATTAGCGCTATTCAAAAGCTATCCATCTATTATTTTACTCTGTACAGACCAGTTCGACGGATCTCCAACGAGATTATGATGGAGACTGTAAGCAGACAGACACTGGGATAGATTCTGAAGAGAGGGAGGGGGGGGGGTGAGCAGAGATGGACGTACTATTAATGTTATGGCACGGACAAAGGACCACGAAATAATGTCTCTATGCGGACAACTCCGATTGTCCATAACAGGTTAAGCAGAAAATTCCAGGATGACTCTTGTTGTTTTTGGAAGCGTAAGTGTTAAATATCGCAAACACATTTCTGTCTTCCTTTTTAAAAATACAGTATATGCCGTTTTTACAACTTTACAGGAAAGCCAAAAAACTTATGCCGTTACAAAGAAAACAATTGCTTTAAATATAATGGGAAGTAATTATCAAAATTGTATTCTTAAGAACACTAATATCAGATTTTCACAAAAAGTTGGTTTTCTTGGGAGCAACACTCAGTTCTTCGGCTCTCGTGTAAAATTGTAATATAATCTATATATACTGCACTTTTTTAAATGACAGCAGATTTCTTGTGGTGATATGTGCCAGTAACTACAGCAGCCTCTGACAACTAGATTATTCCTCTCTTTCACTTCAGCGTGAAGAGCAAAAGTATAACTATGACTGTGACTACTGTGAGTCTGTGAGGTGCCACAGGAAAATCCATCGCATGTCGCTAACCCTGGAGCTGAGACATTGCCGAATAAACTGAAAAGTTATAAAGAAAGATTTTTGGTAGAAAATGAGATCTGTGCATAATTAAAACTTCAACATCTTTTGATTTACAAGTTCTAAAATTTAATACATACTTGAAAAACAGCTAGAAATAATGTATTTTTAGGGGATGATTTTCTAACATCACCTGTGCTAGGGAAAATGAAAAGTCTCAACTTCAAACCAAGATTTCTCACAACTGGGCATAAGGGGGGAGGGGGTTTCTAACTTGGAATGTTTTTATATATATATATATATATATATATATATATATATATATATATATATATATATATCTCATCTTCTAAAAATATCATAATTCAAATCAGTAACCTTATATTTACTTTGGAGATAATGTACTTTAAAAGCATCGTGCAACAAGTCTATCTTTTAAATTGCTTCTTTTGAAACATGTGACCGATTTTCCACGGCGCCTCACAAATGGTTTCATTCAAGCTTACTGAGAAGATCAAGGGGAAGACCGTGTGGAACCTGGAGAAGAATCACAGAAATTGATGTACAGAAGAAAAGTGAAAAGACATGGAATAACATCAAGAGGCTAGCCCAGGATAGAGAAAGGTGGAAAGTGTTTGTTGGTGGTGCAGGGTGAGAAAGGCAATGACGAGGATGATGAAGCTTACTGCGAAAGGAAGAAAGCAAACACACTCGACATGCTACTCACGTACACACTCTCTAATCGCATACTCTGACACTCACACATGATGCTGATAATTATAAAAAGTTTATTCACCAAATCCATTTCAATAAATTTGATTTGCATTATAATTGTAGACAGGAAAAAAAAGTACTTTACAGAAAACTGAATACTGAAAACAATAGATGTTTGATTGGAAAAAAAGGGGCAAACCACACCTGAGCACCAACAACAATTACCCACTTTGTGAAACTGAAAGTGGAATAAACACAAGCTTTAGAATTACTAACATCCTTACAAACTCAATCCCCCTTTTTCGGTCAAATTCAGCTTTCCAAAAGTTTCTAAACTACCGGTATCTTAACCCTCTCAGCCCCAAGCGCATGTATTTTCAGCAGAGCTTGTACCTCCCACCATCCCAAGAGTGTATATTCTCAGTTTCGGGAGGTACCAATTTTGCGCATTTTTCTAAATTAGCGAACCTAATTAAACTGTAATTTTCATAATATTCATTCATTTACCCTTGAACACTGTTCTATGTTATTTATTACCTAAACCTCATTACAAAGATACTAGATCACTTTATAGAATGCATGCCAGTTTCTCTGAAATACCGCTGTGTTGGCTGGGACTGGGGTAAGGGAGTGCTCAAAAATGGCTGGGGCTGGAAGGGTTAAGAATGAAAACATTCTGGGCATGAATCGTATTTTTAATTTAAAAACGGAAGAGAAAAAATACAAATATACACATAGCCCACTACATGTAGATGAGAAATTTGATACCAAACCAGAATTTGATCAAACTGATTTTTTAAATTAAAAAAAGTAACCAACTACAAGACAAGCAGCAACACTTTACTTTAAAATCATTATTTAAAAAAACCAACATTGAATGCACAAGCACTGCAGACATTCGAAAACTTTTACTTTTAGTATGCACTGTGCCAGTGTCACTGTGAAATATGAAGAACGAGTTGAGTATTTTACAGTAGTGGCAAGGCTTCCAAAGTTACGCACGCACAGAGATCAACGACAGCTTAAGATGCAAACACTGAAAAGGGACTAGAGCAAATCACCAGTGTATCCCAGCTATAACAAAACTGCTGGGACCAACGCGATACCCCTGTTTTGTCCGAGTCCTGTTAGAGACGGGGATTATAATATTGTTACACATACACCGGAATTAACGATAAACAAATGGGATTGTGTTTATTACACAAAGATAACCCACTGCCAATCGATTATTAAATTATTTATTACTCCCATTTTTTTCACTGATATTTTTTTTTCCTTCTCACCTTTTATCTTTCTGTTTCCAGTGTCTTAACTCTTTGACTTCCAGTGACTGTTTGCTCTAGCCACTGAACCAGTACTGTTTTGCCGAGTGGCAGCAGTAACCGGCCGATAAGAATGCGATAGTAGTTTACTTCCAAGTCAAATAAACACCGAAATGACACGGTAGGTTAAGGTATTGCTAGTATTCTATACAAATAGACGTTACATTTTCTCACTCCTGGGGGGAGAGGGGGTCTGTTTAATTGGTTGGTTGACAGTTTGGAGGAAAAAAAGCGATGTTTTCAAGCGTGCATTGTTTCAGTTTGTGGCTGTGGGTTAACCAATTCCAAAGCTCAGATGATTGCACACAAAAAAAGAAATTAATTTACAAATAATTATTTCTTTACAATGAAGAGTGACATGCACATTCAGAAGTGAATGCACATTGAATAAATTGCACATGAAAACAATTTCGCACTGTTTTACATTTTCACTTCTTTTGGTAATTCACAAATCTGACATATTTTATTGCACTGTTTTTTGTTTTTTTTAATCCTGTGTGTATCATTGCCATTAATTATAAATACAATTTGATTAATATTTTGGGCCAGCAGTCTAGTTGAGTTGAGTTTTAGTAAGAGTTTTACGACACTTGCAACACAATTAGGTCATATAACTTAAAAGTGCCGGGCCAGCTGTAAAAGATCTACAAAAGTTTGCATCTTAATTTTTCAAG